GCGCAAAAATAACTACACGCAAAAACTTGCAGACTCGATTTTAACGACAGAGGTATGGTTCCTTGGGCAAATTTTCTTGGAATGACCCATAGAACACGGAAATCATAGGTATTTGGTCGATTTTTTTCACTCCCTACAAATCGACCCGCCCTAATATATATATTGTAGGCATTCAATTGGATGCACAAAAGCGGTTGAATAAAACCCGAGTCGAGAAGAACTTCAAGGTTTCCAAAGCTGTGCTCGATTTAGAGACATTTGATGACGATCAGGATGGTTGTGCTTCCATTTGGGTAGCAGCTGATGGCAAACATACATTGTTGGCCAACTTAAGCCGAAACATACCACAAACTACCATTGACGTTGCTTTTGGAAAAGGCCAGACGGTCGAATTTTACATGCGTGCGACGTTTGAATCAACAGCATACCTGAGTGGCTACTACGTACTTGATGACGAAAACTCAAGCGATGAGAGTTCTGATGAAAAAAGCCAACCAGAATTCCCAAGTAGGAAATGAAATAAATTTGATTTCGTTTAGGAAAAATTCAGAAGTCTACAATTTTGTTTCCAGACATCAAACTGCCAAAATTTCCACAGTACCAGTCCAACGAGCATCAATTGTTGCATATGTCTCCTTCGATTCGTCAAGGTGGTCATGTCAAAACGCCTCAAAACGCTTATGCAGGTTATCACTCGGACATGAAAATGGATGTTTCACCAAAGTTCAATGCATACAAAGGCAAAGGTGACATGGGCCAAGCTCCGACTATTCCCAGAACCCCACGCAAGACCGCATTAGCTGCATCGAAGCTATTGAACGATTTGAAAGGTGATAACGTTTTTGATATATTTTTGTTCTAAGTGTTCACTCATATTTACATATTAGATACGGATGAAACTGGCGATATCGAGAACGACGATTTCATCTCTGCAAAAAAGCCGAAATTCAGTGCTACTCAGGTGAGACTTTTTGCTCACAAACTAAATAATTTGAATTTTCTGATATCCTGCTTTGTCCACTAGGGACCACAAGAACTGCCAGGGGGTGTGATCATTGAAGATACTTTAGATGGAACAGGCACCATTGTGGAAAAAAACAGCACCGTGAAATTCAAATACACAGTACGTCCAGCAAAAGGTAATGCTCGTTCACAGCCAATGGAAATGGAATTGACCCTTGGAAAGCGCAAATCGCTGTTATGTTGGAATATCGGTATACCAGGAATGAAAGTTGGTGGTATTCGCCAAATCACCAGCCCGTCATCCCATGCCTATGGACATAAAGGTATTGTACCATTCATTGGCGGAGATGAGGACGTGGTTTTTGTGATTCAACTTTTTAGTTCCAAATAGTCCAGCCAAAGAAGAATTTTTTCTGCAGAAATCGTTTAGGAAGTAGCAAATATTTCATAGCTTTGATTGAAGTACAAATTTCAGTAAAACATTTAGAGCAAAAAAAAATGTAAACAGAATTTCAAAATGTTTAGTACAAATGAAAGAACAATGGATTTAGTTACATAGTATACTATAGGTAGGGAAATATTAAAAACAGTTGACATCTTATTCAAATCATTTGACCAATGTTCTACAGTGATAAAAAAAGTGCCACTATCCAATAAAAATACAAATTTTCAAGACAAAATAAATCATCACATTATCTTATACACATTTCAATGCTGTTCTATCAACGCAATCATTCATTTTTAAAAATTATTTGCAAATATCCTGGAGGAGTCCATTAGTAGAAATAAAGAATTCTCCTCCAGAATCGAACAATTAGCCAATGACATTTTTCATCTATTAAAATAAGACATCGAAAATGGTGTTGGAATCAATTAAATAGTAAGCAGAAGAAATTAAAAATAGTTTATACTTATGAAATGTAAAATCATGTAACAAATGTTTTACAGTGATTAAATGTCCAATAACGTTTTAACATGTCAAAATACAAATTTTCAAGGAAAAATAAATCCTCAGATTTTAAATTACATATTTCAATCAACACAATCATTCATTTTTAAAAATTATATGCAAATATCCTGGAGGAGTCTATTAGTAGAAACAACATATTGCTTACATTTTATTCAAATGGAATAAAACGTTCAATTGGGAAAAAACGTTCATTGTCTCCAACTTCACGTTGTTCAACGAGTTTATGGCAACCGATCTGTCAAAGTGGGTGATTCAGCTTCATCACATTAATATATATCCATCATTGCAACTTTTGGAGCATACCGTCATTATTAGAATACTATTTGGACAATCAAATATTGACAATTCCTGATATACTTTCAGAAGTTTTAAAAGGTAAGTTGTTAACAGTAAAATATTTTATTTTTTTATAAACATCAGTGGTCAAATTAACATATTTGTATGTTCATGTACCAGATGCATACGCGATCAAAGAAGCTAACTGCTGCAGAGCCGGCGACAGCGAAAAAAAATAAAAATCGCCTGCAACACGTTTCAAAATTGCCGGCCAAAATTGAACCAAGCATTTCGTGTGATACAAATATCTGCTCCAGATTGCGATCAAAAACGGACATTGACCCGGTCACACAATCATGTGTCGTAGTTGAGGTTATGACACCAGTTAAGAAGGTGAATACCAAATCCAACCAACCGAACGAAAAAACCACTTCACCCGCTACGGCAATCCAAACCAAATCGAAATCGAATGGGAGGTCAAAACGATTTCTTCCATCAAGCCCCACCGTTGTGGTTAAGAGCCTTGGGTTGCAAGCGCATGCATCAAAATCTAACGAAGCTGTCTCCTTGAATAAGGAAAGCATTTCGTGTGGTACGAAAACTCGCACCAGATCGCAGTCCAAAATGGGTGTTTCTGCAGCGGAACCCAAGCCAGCCAAATCACAATATCCTACCCATCCGACAACACGTGCAACAAAGTCCAACGAAGCTGTCTTCTTGAATAAGGAAAGCATTTCGTGTGGTACGAAAACTCGCACCGGATCGCAGTTTAAAATGGGTGTCGCTGCAGCGGAACCCAAGCCAGCCAAATCACAACGTTCGACAGAGACTGCTGTTGCTCCTGCGAAAAAGAAGTTCGAAGTGGGAGAACTTTGTTTCGGAAAAGTCCGTGGTTTTCCCGAATGGCCTGCCATTATTACGAAAATCGAGAAGAATTATGCACTTGTGAAGTTTTTCAATTCACCGCTAAGGTAAATGAATTTATTGGAATTAACACGTAAATCAATTACGACGTAACTTTACTAATAACTACTACTTTTTTTCGTTGCAGTGGAAAATGCTTCTTTGGGAAGATATTTAACCTGGAAGAGGGTCTTCGATTTTTGAAGCTGCAAGGAAAAAATCTTCAGTTGCAAAAAGCAACAAAGGAAATGGCATTCGTTCTACGTGAAAAAGTTCGAGAAGAATCGATCACATTGAAATCCGAAGTTTTGTCTCAATATTTGAGCTTGATCTGAGAATAAATTTAAACAAGAAGACATTCAACAAATCCAAAACATTCACCACTATAGTAGTAGTATCCTATTAAACAAATTGTAATGTTTATTGAAATAAAAACTTGAGCTTATTTTAAAGCTATCAGTCACATGTGAATACACATAATCAACATTTATTTGTATGTTTTCTTAGAATATGAATGATATTTGAATATGTTTACAAAAAAAATCACTTTTGGTTAGTCCATACGTTGCTATTGGTATAGCAAATTGGCATCCCCTGTATATTTCGATAGCTTTGCCCTGGTGTTGACTGAATAATTTGATATTTCTGGCCTGAAACTGGCTGAAATGATTGATACTGCGTGTTCACTTGTTTATATGGCGTATGTAAGCTCATTTGATTTGATGTGGATGTTTGGCCAAGACTCGGTGCATCAGCAATGGGGTCTCCTGGAACAACGATGATAATATCATCATCTGACAAGGTTTCGCTGACATTGGTCGTCTTTTTTTGGGCATTTTCATCGGAAGACTTTTTATATGCATATTTAAGCACTTTGTAGACAAAAAAACGATGACATTCTTGCTTGTCAAATGTATTGTCTGCAGCATGGCCTAAATTGCAAAACAGCTCGATTAATTGCACGAACGATTTGAACGCAATCTTTCTCCTTTCTTTTTGTCCACATTTCCCTGTCCAAGTCATATTTGATAACAATTGTTCGCTGAACATATAGTCACAAATTCGTTGGACAACCTCTTCGCCAACAGCAGTGCCCGTTTCTCCTCCAACAGACTTGAAGATCTTGTACTAGAACAAAATATCAATAATCAATATTTGACCATAATCAAATCAAACTATATATTGCAACAAATTCGACTTACGACTTTATCGTAGAAGTCTTTCTTTTTTAGTTTTGTGTTGAACCCAGTGATACCATTCTCGTCGGTCAATGGTAAATTCAACTGTTGCAGCTGTTCATCTGTAACTTTGCCCAGCTTCTTAATCTTAGACTGTTGTTTTTGAGTATTTTCACTTTCGATGCACCTAACCTCGAAGCCCACCACGGATCTCTGTAACACTTTGACATCGGCATGAATTTGCATAATCTTGTTGTAAAGAATCATCTCTCCAGGTGATAGCAATTTCTTCATGGGGTCATCTTGCTGATCCATTTGTGAATCAATTGCGTTTGGAGGAGTGTTTTCATCAACTTCTTCCGCAAGTGTTTGACTTGAAGCTTCCAGCTCTTTGAACAAATGATCATCATTCATCTCGTATTCCAGCTGACCATATTTTTGTGTCTTATTACGGAGTCTTTTTGCTGGCAGGTCATTGTTATTTTGGTCGACTGCTACTCGTTTTGATGATGTTGGTTGGTTCTGATTCGACTTTGTTTTCTCTACACTGCATTCGCCTGGAGAATCATTTTCGTTTGTTTGGATAGTAATTATGTTTTCTGATAACGAAGACATTGAGACGAGACAGTTTACACGGTTATAGCTTAAGAACTGATGAAGGAATAACAGCATTAATATTTGGAGTTATAATGATTTGCGTATTTTTGGAAATATATTTACCTGCAGAGTTGACCAAAAAAGAAATCTCACGCTTTTGTCATATAATTGAAATTCATCTATTCGATTGACAGCTTCAGTTTAATGAAGTGCTGACATCTGCTACATGGAATGCAATTATTCATTTGTCACAATTATGACACTTTGACATTCAAACTACAAAAAACTCATGTGGTCATGTGTCAAGTGAAAAAACAATCTTTGACTATTTAAAAGTAGAAATAGTATTTATTGATTTGGTATTTCATGAATTATATAGAAAATGACACGAAAAAGAACTATTTCGAAAAAAAATCTACGGTTTCGTCGATATAGAAAAGTGAACAAATTGATTTCTCAGAGGCGTAATGAGGTTTTGAACGAAATACAGCTGGAGGATGACACGCAAAGAGTTTCACAATTAAATATGTTCAACATGAACGAACCAAAATTAAATGAATCGATTGGGTCATGGGTAAAATCTCATGGAATTACTACAAGAGCTGTGAACGATTTATTACGTTTAATGAACAAAGCAGGTACCATATAAATAATAACTTTCTCAATTGTATTCTGTTGTGTCTTTAATGTGAAGAAACTTGATCGACTTTTGCTCGAAGAGTATAATAAAACTGATATTGTTATTGTTTTTAAGGTGTTGCACAATTACCAAAAGATTATCGAACTTTGATGAAAACGCCAAAAACTATGGAAATTGTCGAGAAAGCAGGTGGAAAATATTGGTATAATGGCATTGAGAGAAACCTGCAACTGATTTTTTCAAAGCTAAATGAAAACATATCAATCAAACTCAATTTTAATATGGACGGCCTTCCGGTTTTTAAGAGCTCACAATGTGTTTTCTGGCCGATTCTATCTTCAATTCACAGTAATTATCATTTACAAAAAAAAACAATATTTTATATACATGATCAAGTCAAAGGTACAACAAACATTCCCTTAAACAATTTCAGAAATGCCCCACATCCGTCCCATGATTATTTCTATTTGGTGTGGCATGAAAAAGCCAAATAATTTAACAGAATATTTGGAGCCATTTGTTATTGAGTTGAAAAGGCTAATGCAAAATGGAATTTGGGTGAATGGTTACCATATAGCTATAGCATTTAGATGCTGCATATGCGATTCCCCTGCGAGAGCCTTCATTAAAGGTACTCCGATTTTTCTTCGCCATATTCTTCTCATGTCTATTAATTCAATTTAAAATACCAATAGGTACGGTGAATTTTAACCATACTAATGGGTGTCAGAAGTGCAAAGTGACTGGATCAAAGTCTGCAGAAGCAAAACGAATGTACTACGCAGAAATAGGATGTTCGCCACGAACTGATATCGAATTTCGGAATCGAGAGCACTCAAGTCACCACAAAGAACGTTCTGTACTGGAGGAGCTGGAAATCGACATGATTAAGGCATTCCCAACATCAGATCCGCTCCACTTATTCGAATTAGGAATTATGAAAAGATTGCTCAAAGTGTGGTTATTTGGTGACGTTGGCTATGGCAGGAAATGGCTGAAAATTGATATCGTTCAAATAAATACGCTCCTGCGGGATATGAACAAGGACAAACCACGTGAAATTCATCGATCAATACGCTGTTTAGATGATTTTAAATTTTGGAAGGGAACAGAATTTAGGTCATTTTTGCTCTACTACGGTATAGCTGTTCTGAAAAATTACTTGCCCGAAGATGTCTATAGACATTTCTTGATACTGGTGTGTGCCACTACGATTTGTTATACAGATGTTTATAGAGTATTCTTACCACTCAGTAAAATTTGGTTCAGTAGATATATAGAAAATTATGCAGATATTTATGGCATCCACAGCATCGGTAGTAACGTGCATTTGTTAAATCACGTATGTGACGATGTAGAAATGTTTGGGAATTTAAATGACATTAGCACTTATGCTTTCGAGAATAGATTGAATTTTTTAAAACTCAGATTAAAACAACCAAATCTGCCTCTTGAACAGATTAGTAGAAGAATTGTCGAATTAAGTCTAGACTACGATGACTTCTACTCATGCAGTATAAAAAATGTAGCTTTCCCGCAATATAAACATTCAGAAATTCGCGATGGCACTCAAATTTTCAAAGAAATAATTATCAATGGCGATTGTACATTTTCCTCAAAGCGTATAGCCGACAGTTGGATTCTAACTTATTCTCTTGAAATCTTTCAATTCAAATATGTTATGTCAACAGGAAACGCAGTTCATGTTTACGGTACACCAGTACCCAGATTAGAGAACTTTTTCACATACCCATTGTCTTCTAGTCTGTTAAATATTTTCAAGTCAGACGGAAAAAGTGAAACGAACCTAATGTCATTTAATTTGAACGAAATCAAAGCGAAAATGTTGCGTCTAAAAAGTTGTGACGATTTTGTGTTTATACCTCTTTTGCACACATTGAAGAAATAAAAAAAAACAGAAATAATATAAATAAAAAATAAAGAAATAACAAACATCAAGCTTTTCATCTAGTTTCTATTGCTTAAAATTAACATCAGTTTTGCATAAAATATGAGTAATATGCACAAAACGTGCATGGATTATGCATATGGTCATCGTGTAATTTGTATGAAAAATAAAAGGCGAATTTGTATGCATACGGTATGCACTGTGGTATCACCAAAAAATTACCCATATTTTTTTAGTGACTTCATACAAAAGCGTAGTGTTTTGTGCATAATCGATGCATATTTACATACAAAAAGTATTGAGTTTCACCATTAAAGGTTCATTGGGTATGAATAGTAGCCGTTCGAGCGTTCGCATAAGCAGTAATACATTTT